AAGGTTGTCTGTATCAACGCTGTGCGTCGATGTATCCAGTTTTGATGTAGTGGCGTATTAATTGGTTCAGGTCCTATATTTAAAATTAAATTTGCTGTTACTGCATTTAAATAATCTTCTACAGAATATTCAGGGTCTGTTCCTGTGAATACCATTAATGGTTTGTTTGATGTTATTGATGATCCACCCATAAGGTATGGATTCATTGTCATTTGTAATGATTCTGCTGCATTTGGCATTTGTGAAAAATTTGAAAGTTGATTTTTTGTTATTTCGTGTTGTTGAAGGTAATATGGAAGTGGTTCTTCATTTTGCATTTGTGGTGGTTGATACGAGTGTGTAATCATTGGGTTTTGTGGCTGAATTGGTTGAAAAGATTGTGTATTAATTGGGTTTTGCATTTGTATTAGTTGTTGATTTTGTGTATCTGTTGGGTGTGGAAAAAAAATTCTATGATATGTATACGGTTTTTGCACTCCTTGTCCACGATATTCTTGAGTGTATGGTGCAAATATATCTGGTTGTAAATAATCATCGTCAGAGGATAAATAATCCGTTTGATGAGATGCTTGCTTTTTATTTTTATTCTGTTGAAAGAATGGGTAGTTTTCACTACGATCCTGTGGAGGATATGAATTAGTTTGAAAGTTTACTGAATTGGTTGTTGCCATTGGGTTATCCCAACATCGAGATCTTATCTGATTATTATTATTTTTTTGGGGGGGATAGTTTGTTTTTGATGAATGTGTATAATTATAATTGTGTTCCGCAAAATTGTTTCTTGTGAACGTTCTGCGTGATTTTGACGGTATTGTCATGGGTCTATATGTTTGATAATCCATTTGTGAATATTTTGGAGCAACCGAAGGTTTAACGGTTGATTGTAAGGTTACCTGTGCTAGTGAAGTAATTGTATTTCTTGGTGTTGTTAAATTTGGACGTATTAGTGAAATACTTTGTTGTGTCGTTGTTGTTGTTTGGACAATTTCTTCATTTATGAAGTGTGATGGTGTCTGAATATCTTGTTGAGTGAGATTCCTAGTTCCATTAAGGTTTTCATTGTGTATGACGGTCGAGTTTAAGCTGTTATTTCGCGTATCCGGTAGAAATGTCTTATAGTTTAATGGTGTTGCATCAATGGTTAATGGTACTACTCTTACATAATCTCTTGTATAAGATATTGTACTTATTGCTTGACTTGCAATTGATTGTGGGATATTTATAAATGCATAATGAGACCATTCGGGGTCCCAAACGTAGTCTGACTGTTCTGTGATGGCGGTATCATCGTTTGAATTTTGAGGTCTGAAATTTTTTCTTGCTTGTGAAATTAAATCTATATTATGTGTGAAATAATCTATTATAAACCATGCCAAAATTTTTTGTAAGTCATGTTTTGTATGTTGTGAAACATCATCTTTAGTGAAATTTTCTTTAATTATATGTAGAAAAGTTGAAAATAGTGTAATTTCATGTCGTACCCTTATATGTTTAGATGTCTCTGTCGGTGAGACACTTGGGATTGGGATTTCGTTTTCTAATATTGAGATATAACTGTGAATATGGAGTTTGCTCTTTGTGAGTTATGATATTGTATGCTTTTTATATATTCTGAGAATACTTTTGAGAATTCTAAATCAAGGTCGTCTGTTTGAATTACATATTTGCGGTGATTCGGGTTTGGTGAGCTGAATTCTATGGTGTAGATTCCGTATTGTTGTGTCAAGTTACATATATCTTTCAGATAGTGATCAATAATTTGTCTTTTGATCTTTACATCTGGGAACTCTGCTTTACATGGGCTGATTCCGGGTTCAAATAAATTTAGGAGTAAATTCTTGCAAAGTATATGCTGTCCTCTATCATTGGGTGCATCTACGAGGAAGGGGTAGATATCGTCATCATCTGGACTATCTTCACTTGGAGTGTGTGTTTGGCTCATTTTTTCGTTTAATGACTGTTAATAGGTAATTATCGATATGTCTAATTGGTTGATTCCAATTATATAAATGTACTGGTTTGTGTTTATATTGCTTTTTTATTCTTCTTTTTCCTCTTTTTGATGAATTTGAAGTTGTTTCTGAGTCGGAAAAATATAATTGATCGTGAATGGGGCAATTTTTATCTATAGATTCTTTTAATTTATAAAGTTCGTCTAAATTGCTGGCTTCTGAGTCTGAAAATGCGTTTCTATTTTTGGAAAATCTTTTTCGTGTTATTTGTCTTTGTTTAGTTATTATTTTCCTTTTTAGTGTTTGTCGTTTTGTTCTAATATATCCAACTGTTTGTGTGCGAGGTGTGATTACAAGGTCGTATTTTTTGTTATTTATTTCACAGTTGTGTAAAACGATTGTTTGTTTGTTTCCTATATTTTTAAATGACATAAGGTTTAGGATGACGGATGCAAAAAGTTGTTAGATGATTTCTATTTTCTTAAATTGTTAGTCCTTACGATTTTTTGGTTAGCTTAACCTGGGTCTATTTGTTCAGGGTTGGAGAGAAAAGTATATCGATTCCGAAGAATGATTTTTTACTTTCTCGTGGCTAGTATAAGCTAAGGTGTTAACTTACTTAATCTTAGTTAAGGGTAGTGATTGTGTTCAAGGGTTGGAGAATAGTAAATCGATCCACAAGGTTCAGGTATAATTAGAACGCGAGTAGTTCGTTAGATACTATTTTAAACTTACTAAGTCTACGATTTATCCTGGGTCTGGTAAGAGGAGGGTTCAAGTGAAGGATGAATAACCGAAGTTCTTCACTGTTTATCCTAATTTGAATGATTAGTGTTGTTCAAAAATTTCTATTAGTCTTGGGATTTTTGAAAGGGGTGGATAGTGAATCGACGTTTGAGGTCGTTAGACACTAGCTAAGTGGGTGGGGGAGAACAAAATTGTTCTTTTTGATCCAAGGATAGGCCTTGAGGATCAAGTTTTGTAAATTTAATTAAATAGAAAACTTAATTAAGATCCAAGGATAAGCCTTGATGATCTGATTTTAAGATTAAGTGAATTTAAGTTTAAAAATGGTTTAAATTTATTTAAGAAAAGATTTAGTGTTTTAATGATATTAGTGAGCTTATGATTGCTGTTATGTTTTAGGTGATGAAGCTGGGACAACTGATAATTTTATAATTACTAACAGTTGATTGTCATGCTACTAATTTTTGTTTTGATTTTCAATAAATATTTTTCAAACATGTTTTATATAATACTGCAGAATTTTAGGAAAACGATCTGAGATCTTTTTATCAATCGTTATTGTACATTAATAGTTTTGTTTAGCGCCTGAAATGATTATGAAGATTGACTTCAAGATTTTATGTTTGCAAATGAAAATCTAAATTCATTGCTAATAAAATTCTAAAAATAAAAGTTTGTGTTGGCTTTTGCCGTACTATCATATAACTATTTGGTAAGTTTCTACTTTGTCGTATGTCGTCTCTGGTTTGAGGTCTTCTTGCCATTCCGGGTGGTTCTGTTATCGTTCGGAATATTGGCTCTGATCTATTGAGTCGTAGAGACATTTCGATTAAATTATCGTCGTGTAACATTTTAAAAATGTTTTGTCTAAATTCTAATCTATTTTTGGTTAATTCTAAGCTATTAAGGTCTTGTTCGAGACTTATGGTCGCACCAGATGAGTTAGAACCGTTGTGGTTAACTCATAGAGTAATTTCGGATAGGGTACACCGTCTGCTCGTCACGCTATCTTATTTTCGGCCGGATAGATTCGTGCAACTTCTTAGTCTAATACCGATCCTAATCTTACTCTTATACTATCTAGTCTCAGGTTGTTTAACTAGTCTCTGCTAGGCTCAATAGATCTAGGGTATACTGGTTTATTGCGGCTGCTGAAGTTCCTTTGGAGAGGCAACTAAATTCTAAGTTAAATTCAAATCTCTCTGGTGCTGAAATTACAAGTAATTCCAGCACTTACAAATAAGTGGGTTGTTAGTTAGATGGATCATGATTGGTTAATATTAAATACTTTACAGTGGTAAAATATCTAATTTATCCAATCATAAAATGTAGTTTAGATCAGGTTCCAGCACCCAGAAAATAATTAAGGCCCGTTTTCGAGTACTTTTTGGAAAATTTTGACCTAAAATTGCGCTTTCCGGCGCTCGCGCTCCTTAAAAATTAGGATATATTGCCGCCTTTGCATCAATTTTAGGGTTGGTTGGCCCAAAATGGATGTCATAAATTAATACTAAAGGGGAAGCTTTGGTTGGTTAGGGGTTCGAATCCCTGAGTGGAGGCGTCCCCTTTAATTCCACCCCTGCTACAAAATTGCAAACAGCACGTTGCTCACTTTTTGAAAGTTGCTAATCACACAAAAAATCCAATGTGGCCTTTCAGCCGACAAAACAAAGTGTTGAAAATTGAAAATGTGCAATATGAAAAAAGTAGGTCATACCCGGCCTCAAATCTTAGCTGACTCAATCGTGGGCGTTACCTCTAAACCAAGTGGGTCGCAGGCCTCTAGAAAATTGAACTCTTTTAATAACAATTTTTTGGAGTTTCTGTTTAACTGTTCGTTAACCCGAAAATCTATTTTCCGATGACTTCAGGCTTGCTAAATGCGTGCGTAAAATTTTAAGAAAAAACTTAACCAGATTGAATTTGTGCTTCTCAGTGTTAAGTTGACATTGTAAAGCGGTTTTTTTCGCAAAACTAGGTCGTGAAAAATTTAGTTTTGCTCTAGAAAAAACAAGTTTGCGAATCTTCATTTAGCTCTTCCTTGTCAAAAAAATTTCATAAAAAACTGAAATTCAAAAAACTGAAACTTTCGCCGAGTATCAAAATAATATTAAGTTCTAAACGTTTGTCCTTTCACTCATCAAAACAACGAACAAAAGCGGCACAAATTTTCAAAAAGTATTTATTTTAAACATTTATATTAATGATGTAAAAAAACTATCTGAGCTAACTGCACAGCAGCCGGCTTTCCGTATTATAACTTAGTATTTTTCCGATGACTCTTGGAAACTTTTAAATAACTTTTTGAAACAAAAAATTTCAAATTTTCTTAGGTCAGTGTTATAAAATGATATTTCAATTATCAACATTACATAAATTCAACTTTTTATATATAGTCTTTCTCTACTCGTTCGGGTTCTGAATGACTATGATGTTATGGTCCTTGTCAGGGGCAATCATGATCTCGTTCTTTTTTGATCTGACTCTGATGAAAGTCAACTCGTTCTCGGGGTCAATGTCGCGCACCAAACTGCTTCCCTGTTGAAAACGATCAAGATGTAACTAATGTTCATGATAGTGATGTTTATATAGTTAATGCAAAATTGTTGGCAATTTCTTTTCGGTCAACAAACCTGAACGAAATTATTTAAACTTTGTTCATTTGGAAGTCTGAAATCAAATGTTACGTTTCTTAGTACGTAAAAACTTTCTTATGAAAATCAGTTAACCCAAAACTCACTATTTTTGGCCAATTAACTTTTTCATGGATATTGATATTGCTAGCAAAAGAGCTTTAACTACAATTAAAAACAGGTTGAAAGGAGAAATTCATTTTAAGGATTTTTCTGAAACTCAATATATGGAAATCAATTTCAAATGACTTTTCTCAATATAAACTGCATTAAGGGCGTGGGGGTCTAACTGGAAAAAACCTTTCCTACCCGTTGAATTATCTATATATAAGGTGTCGCTTTTCTTTAGAAAGATACCATTCGGGATAATCGAAGAGATCCTAGGATAGCTTCGTTTGATGCTATATTTGAAAACAAAAATGAAATTTTCAAACGCGGCTAACAGCGTTTTGCTTATCGTTTTAATTTATCGCATATAAAAAAATTGGAACATTTAAACTGAAATTTCAGTCAACATTTTTTAAATTTTTTTAATCTGCCTTGTAATATTTGAATAAATTTGCTTGTAATAACCTTGTAGGTGAGATCCTTGACAGCATTTATGTACTGAACAGTGGTGGAGTTGTCGAGAGATGATCTAAGGGACACCCCCTCCTGGTTGGCAATTATGGCCCCCACCACCCCCTTGTGGGTCTTGATTCGGTTGTACGTCTCCTCGATATCATTCTAAAAAACCAGTTAAAAAATATGAGGTAATTTCTTTTCTGTACAAAAACAATCAAAAAAGAACGGGCAAAACAGAAGAGTTTGAAACCCAGCAATAATTTTCATCTTTCATGTTGCAGTTCTCATTTTAGGTAACTGTTGGATAGATATTACATCAATATTATGTAAACTTGACTGTTTTTGGTAGCTGGTTTTTTATTCAGGTATTTTCATATTCCCAGCTAATTACAATTACGCATGGAATTGCATGGAGAGTGTATGACTAAGATTTTTCCATATATGGAAACTGTATGACTAGCATTTTTGGTCAACCCGGGACAGTAGCGTTCAAAAAAGTTTACAGATTACAGAAGATTTGGAAACTAAAAAAACATCTGGAGTCAAAAAAATCAATGTTTGCAATCAGATACAATCATTTCAGACTAAGCTTAAGACTTCAGGCCCTATTCATAGCTTTCTTTAGGGTATATTTTTGACAATTTTCTCCTCAAAATACATTAATTCTGGATCTAGACAAAAATGATTAAAAGGAACTAACATCAAACTATAATATTTGTTTTTGGTTGTGCGGTTACACCGGCAGCAATTAAATTACTTTTTTGTAATTTCAAATCAGTTTGATGCTTAGGTCAAAATAGATATTTTAGAGAGCTTTTTGACAGTTTAGGGAAATGATGAAACGCTAAAATATTCACACTCACACCAGACATTTTTGGTTATGTAGTGTTGAAGGTCTTTGTAGAGAGCCTGATTCCACTTGCAGCCAAGGAATAAAAAGAACTAATCGAAAATCAGATTTGTTATGTAATGTAAGCTGAACACCTGGTAACACAAAACAAAATCACTTATTTTGGTCTTTTGTTATAAAAAGTATTCAGCGGTTATAGTAGACGTGTTATTTAAAGACGCGCGTGCTTTTGTTACCATAATTTTGCATACATTACTGTGCGTATTATTATAACGTGAGTTATAACAATATTTGTTACGTTGATTTGTGACGTTTTGCTACATTGGATAGTTTTTATACAACGCAACGCTACGAAATTCTTTTTGAAAAAAAATGAAAACTGAGACTCGGTATACCGGATAATTGATATGCCGAACCAGTGGCGGGTCTAGGATTTTCTCTAAGGGGGGAGGGAAGAGCCAAATTTTCGAAAATTTTGACGATCTTTTTTAGGTCGACCAAGTTGATTTTCTAAGCTCTACTATAGCACTAAAATTTCTGCGGCGCAGGCAAACTTTTGAAAAAGAAACAAAAATTTGAAAAAGAAACAAACCCTCAAAAAATTTTAGTGTCGGTCGGCTTAAAACGAAATTTTTAAAGTTTTTCCAAATGGGGGACTCACTGGGCCGGAAGGGGTCAAATTCCTGAAGAAAAAAAAGCGACCGCCCCCGCCCCCAAAGCTGCTCCTGTGCCGAACGAGTTTCAGTTCAATTTCGAGCGAGTAACGCAACCCGGGTTGACCAAAAACGCAAGTCATACAATTTGCATATATTGAAAAAGGTAATCATAAACTTTTCATGCAATTCCATAAGTAAAGAAAACTGCATGAAATGTCTATGATTAGTGATTTTTCATATATGGAAATTGTATCGCTAGCTTTTTCCCTTAAACCAAGAAAACAGATTTGCTTAAAATTTTGGCTCTTTTTCAGTTCCCCCTTTTCAAAATACCGAGTTTTATGTTTGTTCTACGTGTTATTACGGCTAAATGCGTGATGTCACGATGTAAAGTATGTAGAACAAATCTGTTCACAAATGTCGATTTTCTCACCTCGCCAATTTTCATTGCATTATGACAACGTTAAATAGGCGTTTCAAAACTGAATTTGAAAGGGCGGAACTGGGAAAGAGCCAAAAAATTTTTCTCAAAATTTTTGGGATGTGTTTGTGACCGAACACAAGTGACAAAAACCACGGTTTGTTCAAAACTAGAGTCACCAAAGGTTTGATCGTCTTGCATTTACTATGGAAATGACCTGAGTTGGGAAAACATTTTCTTACACAAATGATATAATGAAAGCATCAAACTTTTAATACTTGGCAAAACATTTTTAAAGATGATTGTTTCAAATTTGAATTTTTAAGTTATCAGACCTTGATAAAGGCAAACATAAGCCTGCCATAGAAAAGAAACATCAGTTTTTAGCCTGTTCGAAAAAGTTATCCCGAGTAACGGAAAAGACTCTAGTTTTTTTGTATCCAGGACTACGTTATGCACACAAAAAACTAAATCATGCAGGCAAAAAATTTTCCTTGAAAAATGTCTGTTCCAGTACAAAATTCCATTTGCAGTTGAAAAAAAAAACAAAAAAAGGCGTCATCAAAAAAATGCTATTCATTCAATTTCCATGTATAGAAATTGTAAGACCAGCTTTTTTGGAATTGTTTTTTTTTGCACGGTACACCGAATCTTATGCCAAAACATGAGAATAAAGTTTTTTGAAAACTTGATGAAACTTTAGCAAAAGGTATGATAATTGTATGATTTGTAACTTTTCGTAGACTAAGGGTATGGAATTGTATGCTAAGCATTTTTAGTCCATGGATAACAAACCGGGGACCGTGCAGGCTTCTTATGAAAAGAAAAGCCAAGTAGCGCCATCTTGGGATTTAAAAACTTCGAACTAATTTCTGCAAAATTGAAACAAAACATTTTTTAAGTTTTGTTTGTTATTTGTTGACAAAACTTGCTCCTCAATTTGTTTATTTGCCAAGACTGTCAATTATTTACAAGTTCTGGGCTTTTATTTAGGTCATTTTAGCAAACCGAACAAAAAACATTGAAAAAAAAACCTTTTATTTTTTTTCAAGAATATGGTCAGCAAATTCGGGGCTACTGGCACAGCAACTTTTGTTGACTTTTAGCAAATCAATATGATGACAACCAAATGGGTCGCTTAAGATCTGCAGGTTTTTATCGATCTCTCATCTAAAAGTTTACCAAACATAGCCGCAGAATTTCATTTTTGACTCAATGAAAACTGATTTTTGTCTTCAATCCGGTAAAAAATAGTTAATTAAATATCCTTGTACATAGCTAATGGTCCCTAAATACATTACTTGATCCCTATGGGATGTTTTCATAGGATAACTTTCACATGGGAAGTTTTTTCCTGACTTTCAATTATTACCTCAGCCACCACTTACTTATCCATACATTTTTTTTCAACTAAGACATATGGTGAACATTTGACCAAGTACTTTGGGTGGTCAAACAAATAAAAAAAATCTCAAATTTAGTGCAGCCCCTTTTACTTTTCGCGAGCAAAACTATAATTTCATAATTCGAGCTATGATTCAGCGTAAAAGAGCAAAATTGGTATTAATCATAAGCACTCACCAGGCATGTAGAACGGTAGTACCATCTTGCTGGTGTAGAGTAATGACATAATGTCGAATAATGAAATAAGCAAAACGGGTTTAATAGAAGATTGGCTCACTGATGATATTGATAAGCAAAACTAACTTTTCTTAGTTTTGCCAAATAGTGTCAGATCAAAATTTCTTTATATTCAAGTCGTTTATAGTTGTCAGCTATAGATTTGAAGGAGAAGCAAACATAGAATATGACCAAAATTGTAAGGAACAGTTTTATTTAATTTAGTTTTTACAATTAACATGGTGCATTCATGCAAAACAAAAACATGGGTAGGCTAACAACAACCTCTGCTGCTTATGGAAACCGATTAAACTCCTCGTTCAGTTTTTAGCTCTATGTTGATTGAGAAAGGAGCAGACTACATTTTGATTGACACACAGAATGCCAATAAACTACCAGTGGCGTATTTCTAAATCTGCTATCTAGATATAGCACTGAGTAAGTGGTATCTGCAAGATTACTTTCGGTTCCCCTGGCTTGAAATTTTGAAGATCCACGAAGTTTTGAAAAAGTACAAATTTATTATGGAAAAGGTTGATTTACTTCAACGAAATGAAAATCATTCACGAGATTTATTTGAATGTGATAACCCATCTGGAAATTTCTGACCGCCGCAGTTTTTTCACAAATCTTATTACACTGCTCTCACCTACAGTTAGATGATGCCGTGTAACAACAGCCTATTGATCACTTGAGTGGTCTTTCTTCTGTTCACTTGAGAAATATCGAAACCAAGTTTCTATCAATTATTAGAATACTGAAGGAAAGATCAGTTGTGCTAGACTTCGACGAATTTCGCTGTACCAAAAATAATTTTGGTACAGCAAACCATCTATAGTTAAGGAACTAGATGCTACGATTTCTGTTTTTGTTACTCTTCTTTTTCTTTCCACCAGTCAGTTTCAAAAACATGAACAAAAGCGTTTAACTTGATGACAAATTATTTGTAGGAATCCACCGGGAAAGCGTTAATTGTGTTTATTTCAACATCAATCAAATTGTTCAAAGTTTTATTTTGAGAACCTCTAACAACATTTTTTACGTTAAAGGAAAAGAAAAGACTAATTGAAAACTTTTAATAATTTGATTGCCCGAGATTTGAAAACTTAGATTTCGGAAAGTATAATTCTATAGACATTTATCTCCTTACCACTCCAAAAAAACGTCCCTATTTTGATTGGCTAATAAATTGAGCCACATCTAGAGACTAGCGAAAGTGGAAATTTGTCAATCTAACTCAGTGTGATGTGTTCGGAACATTCCATTGAGTGACATCAGAATAACATTGACAAGTTTAGAGCAACTTGATTGAAAATGCCTTTTGATGCAGAGGAAACAGTTAATCATACTATCTGGAGAAGACTATTTTGAGATAATTGTTTTCGACGATTGACAGTTCGTCTACTTTAATATATTCAATAAGTTTAGAAAAAATAGCCAGCAAACAAGGGATTTTACTTTCCAAGCTAGTCTTAGTACTCAGCCGTCGAGCCGGAGTTCAAATGTTTGTCAGCAACAGTAACCTACTCAAAAAATTTCAAAAATTAATAAAACTCAGTAACGTTCAAAATTCAGTAAAGAAAATTCACTTTTTCAATAAATAAACTGAAATTAACCCAGCCTATTTTGTAGTGAAAAATATTGAAAATGAAAATTATAATAAAAATGATTTTAGAAGTTTAGTTTTTAAGCTTAGTTTTACTAAAATTTTGCACAAAAATTTTCTTTGATGCAACTAGTCAGTAAAGAAACATCGTTTTGATTTTCATTTTTGTCTGGTATTGTTGGACAGTTCTACTAAAACCGAGGATATGAACAAAACTGTTGATACATCGAAAAGACTAAATATGGCAGTTGTAAGATCTTGGGAAAACAGAAGCCAGAATGAATTTTTAATTTCCTAGAGAGGAAAAAGTTTTATCGTAAGGATAGTCAGGGCAACCTATAGTCACTTTATAAGAAGATTTGATTGTTTGAGAAGCATTGAAAACTTGTGATGATTCATGCCGGTAATTGATGACTCATGCCAATGTTTTAACAATGATCAAAAATTTGTTAAACTTGCAACCGCAAGAAGACACAAGAGCTTGGATGTTAACTATGTTAAGCAAAACGTCTTCCAACACGATGGTCAGGAATCATCAATTTGAAAACATTTCATATCAATATACACATATAAACCCGAGAGGTTCTTGCCACGTCATTTCTGATTTCAGATGGTATCAGTGTATACGTAAGAGATGGTATATTCAACAGAGCAGAAAAAAATATTTAAAACTGTTTATGCTTCCCAAAAAAAACCTAATGGAAGCTATTTAACAAATTCTTTCAAGTTTGAAGGTTTTGATATGTCAGTAATCCGAGTAATTCGCCTAGGAGTAGTTTGCGCAGGTGGGAGGAATACCTATCGATGTTGCCAAAAGCCTGAAGGATTTTTTTCTATGAGAGTGGGATCACTCGTGTTCAATCAGACATGAACTGTTTATCAGACTTTCAACGCCCCTTCAACCTCGTTCTCACACTCCTCTGCGTT